AGCCCATGCTGGACCCTCCCGGATGAGGAGGCCCGGGACTGTCAGGTGCAATTTGGTGGCTTTATCACCGGGGGCTCACAGGTGGCCAGTTCATGAGAGGGGGGATCTGGAAAGGAGGGAAATGGCTCTGATAACCCTGTCCTGGCCACACCCTGGCTCTTACCCTCCCCCAGCACTGAGCAGGATGCACTTTGGATCAAGCCTGACAATAATTAAAGGGGCAGGGATCTGTGTGTAGCATCTTTAGCTAAAAGAGTTTTTCTCCCCGCTGTGTCTCAGGCATTTGAGTTAAATGGGCATCTGCAAAAATGAAAAGGATGAAGCTAAAGGGCCAAACTCTGCTCCCAGTTACACCAGTGTAAATCTAGAGTGAAGGCAATAGTGTGACTCAGGATTTACACTGGTGTAACTGGGAGCAGATATTGGATCAAATAGGTTCTAAAACTTTGTCAGCAAATAATCATGTCCCCTGCCAGGCAGTGAGGTTTCCCCTGCACAGGGTGTGATGCTGTCAGTCCTGCCAGCTCCTCAGTCACCCCCAGGCTTCCAGGGATGGCAGGGTAGGTGAGACCCCCATTTCTGATCTGTTTTTGAAAAGAGGAAAAACCAAACTGCTTTTTGAGCTTTCCCCCAGCACCACGAAGGAGCAAAAAAGGGAAGGAACCCGACTGCTACCCCCAGAGAATGAGCAACACACGGAGCAGCAGGTTCCTCATCAGCCAGCAAAGGAGCTGACTTGCCGCACCGCAGGGAGGGGACAGACCCCAGCCCGTGTTCCTGGGTCCTCCTCGTCCCGCTGAGGTTCTCCAGGCAAGTTGGGCATGTGCTCAGGATTCCCTCGGATATCTCAGTCATGCAGGCGTCTTCCTCTCTGGGGCCAAGGGTAGCGGGCTGGGTGGGTGCCCCGTGTGCTCTGCTGTTAGCGCCCGCTGGGTTTCCTGCCCCATAAGGCGGTGTCTTATACACGCAGTGACTCAGGTGCTCCCGTGGTGCAGCCTGCGTGGGCAATGCCCCATCACCCTGCCTCCTGCGCCGGGCGGTGGTGACCCTGAATGAGTCACAGTGTCAAAGAGGGAACAGCCCTGCTAGATCCCATCTGGTCCATTGTCCCAGAGCAGGATTGTTCTCTCTAGGCTAGTTTTAAATATAGCATAACCGGGTAGCTTGTCGGGATCAGGGATTGAACCCTGGACCTCTGGGATGAGCTGCTACCACCTGAGCTAAAAGAGCCACCACAGTAGCAGGCTCATAAACATCTCTCTGGGGTCCCAACACTGCAGGGAGACAGGGTCTGGCCATATGGGTTAGGCAAATGTCCCTAGCCATGCAGCTCCCAGTCTGCCCCGAGGGAAGTGACTCCCAGGTGGCACCATCACAGAGTATTTCCTGGTGTGCGAATAGGGGGTGAACAGTGAGGTGACAAAATTTGAAGACAATACAAAACTACTCAAGATAGTTAAGGCCAAAGCTGACTGCAAAGAGATACAAAAGGATCTCAGGAAACTGGGTGACTGGGCAACAAGATGGCAGATGACATTCAGTGGTGACAAGTGCAGAGTAATGCACATTGGCAAACATAATCCCAGCTACACACACAAACTGGTGGGGTCTAAGCTAGCTGTTACTACACAAGAAAGGGATCTTGGAGTCATCGTGGAGAATTCTCTGAAAACATCCGCTCAATGTGTAGCGGCTGTCGAAAAAGCCAATAGAGTGTTAGAAACCACTAGGAAAGAGCTAGAGAATGAAACTGAAAATATCATTATGCCTCTCTATAGAGCCAGGGTATGGCCGCACCTTGAATACGGCATGCAATTCTGGGTGCCCAATCTCTAAAAGGATATATAAGAATTGGAAAAGATGCAGAGAAGGGCAATGAAAATGATTAGGGAGCTGGATAAGCTTCCATATGACGACAGATTACAAAGACTTGGACTGTTCAGCTTAGAAAAGAGACACTTACGGGGGCTATGATAGAGGGCTGTGACTTCATGGGAAAGTGACTAGGGAAGTGTTATTTACCCCTTCACACACTG